GAGCCAGAAAAATTGAGACCAAAAAGCATGATTATGAAAATCTTTGGAAACTTCTATGAGATGGGGGAGAGTGGAGTAGGCAGCCATTGACAACATTGGTCCTATTTTGTATTATCTGTATAATCTTTTAATATATTTTCATATTTTGTAAACAATTTCAATTTGCACTTAATGCCCTGTTAAAAAAAGTAACATTGGGAATGTTAACATAAAATATTTGTATTTGAACTGCAATAAAATGATGACGGATCAATATTTTTCTAATTTTTTCCTCAAATTTTCATGAAGTGTTTAATTTACATAATGATTTAATTACGATAACAATGTAACCCTTTAGATAACAGTTTTGATCGTATACCAGTAACTGCTTTTTTGAAAAAATACACTATAATTCAATATTCTAAAAACTATTTTGACTTTATTATTAGTATAATCAGTTGGTCCATCTGAATAATAAATGAGGGACTGTTAACCTACAAGATTTGTACCATATACTTCCATTATAACCACATTTTTGTATCCCCTCCCCCCCTTTCAATTAAAGTGAAAAAAGATTTTGCACTAATTGTCCTCTGCATTTGACCCTAAATGTTAGTGGTGCCATGGCAGCCCGGGGACCGACTCTAATTCTGAGGTGCCTTGGTCAAGAGCAATGAAAGGAGTATCTGAACATCCATAACATGCATGTTGTTTTAGGAGTATAATAATTATCTTTATGCTGGTTGGTCTCCCACCCTCGGCGGGTTATCAGCACAAATTATGTCCCCATAAAATCCACCATCCCCCCTGATTTTTTTTTACAACTTGAGTACTCTCTACACCGTAGTTGTGTATATCATATGTCAATAAACCTTAGAAATTCTTGAAATCTTGAAAGGGATGTGCAAATTAGCCATTATATACAGTTTTTAATGAACTATTAGTAGAGAATAACGAGTAATGAATATGTTTTAGTCTTCTCAAGCATCAACTATCAAATACTGTATGTCGCCTGGCGCCTACGTCTGTTTCCCGTTACTTTATTTGGAAATTCAGTTCCTGACGGACTCCAAAAACGCCCAAGATTATAGAATTAAACAAATACATAAAAACAAGGATAATTGCAGGCACGATAATTGCAGGCACGAAACAGCACACTACCAATAGAAACACATTGCTTTTAAAATCGTTCTGTGTGACACGAAAAAAAGGGGCAAATCGTGTTGGTGAACACGAATCAATAGATTAAATGTCGTGACTATAACACGAAATGCCGTGAGACTGGGTTGTTGTGCTAGTGTTACCATTAGTTATTGACATTAGCAACTAGTTAATGGTAGCTAAGCTAAACTAAGAAAATGTTTTAAATGTTGCAGCTTAACATTTTCCAAATCTCTTAGCAGCTAGCTACAGTATAAACAAGATACAGCTTTCAACAGAGATAGCTTCTATTATGACAATCAGGTACATTTTAGAAGCACATTGGAAAACCTAGGTAAGAACATGTTGATTTTTAACATGAACTAACTAGTACACAGATATATCAAAATATTAGGATTGTATTCTTAACATTTGTGTTATTGATGGAGGTTGTGTCACATGGACGTGATACAATTATGAGACAAATACACTCCATACAACATCAGAAGGACACGTCTCTACTCACCCAGAGCCGTGCAGGTTCTGGTCCAGGCTCTTGTCATCTCATACCTTGACTTGTGCATCTCTCTCATGGCTGGTCAGACCTCTGCAGCTCATCCAGTATGCAGTATCGCTTTTCAACTCTCTGTCTACCAGTTGGTGTCCAAATCTGTGCCTTGAATGGATCAGGCTCCTTCTACATCCCATAAATAGTTAAAACATATCTAGCCTTCTCACTTTGCTTCCCATCGACTAATCGGCTTGCTTCTCCCTTAATGCGACTAGGATCTATGAATCAAAAACATGCATGCTTCCCATTGAACTCAGGACAGCATAGAGTCTACACATCTTTTGTTGCGGACTGAAAAAAACAACCTTTTTCGCCCGCACCTAGCCTTACATGTTTAAAATAAATCTCTATTCAGTACTCAATGTTCGACCTATTTGAAGCCAATGCAGTAGCACTTACAATGGTATTACAAGCTCATTTACTTGCAGCATTCTTTTTTATTCTTCAGTTCATCATTGTTGATTGCACTTGCACAATGTAATAATGTAATAACAATGGACATATTCAATCCATTAAGTATATGCGCAGTTTGTCAATTTATTTATTATTTATGATAAGCATGATAAGACACTAAACTGCTTAAATAATACAGTGTCATATATGTTATTTTGTGATAAGGAAAACAAGTGGTTCTCCACCATGGTGATGTACATGAGTCCTGGGCCTTGTTCTCTGCAGCTGGACACTATTGTCCAAGTTTATGGATGTTTTACATATTGCCCTTGGACTTTGTGCATTTCCTTCTAAAGAATAATGTGTCATCCCAACACTGAAGCTCTCATTCAATCTGCAGTCTAATTACAATATGGCCATGGTTATGGCAAATCACATTTAGCAACAAACAAACAAAAGCCAGATACACACAACCTTCAAGGACAGCAACGTCATCAGCCATCATCATCATCATAGCCTTTATTCTGAGAATCAGGTACATTTAATTAGCACATTTGAGAACGTGCAAGCTTATGTACGTCCACATCAAATGCTGACGAGCTGTGAACTCAAACCAGATTGTGGACATTAGCCAGTAAGAAACAACTGGCGTATTAGTCCTCTCAGGTCTTATGCATGCAGACTAGGCAGCCAAATAAATGAAGCAGAGTCCATAATGCTCAGCTCACCTTACGATTGCACAGCAGCGGTTAAAATCAACAGTCAGCCTGCAGAGCCCCTGAAATGTCTGGACCTGCCAGCATGACAGTGATTGGACTATCGATGACTTGCCTGCACAAAATGTCAGGTAGCTTTTCTCACAGCCGATGTAGTATATATCTAGTAGCACTGGAGCGTGAACATCTAACTAAACTAACAGTCTGCCAGGGGCATGTACTTTTTATAAACACACACAAACAAGCCTTCTCACCCACCAACCAAAACATAAAAAGTTGTTACATTTTAATGAAGATTTTGGCAGCCGAAAGGGATAGTTCAGATGTTTTGAAGTTGTATGAGATCCATATTTGGTGTTTTACCTAGAAGAGGTGGCGATCACGGAAACTAAGCAGTGTATGGCTGAGTACGGGCAGCAGCAGCAATTCCGACTATTCAAGCCTTGATTACTTTATTAACTTCGAAAGACACCAGACCTCTTTGCCAAAAACATGTATTTTACTTCGCAAACCAAAGGGGTTGCTGGTGTGCCTGAATATTTACGTTTGTTTGAGTTCACGTGTGTCTTTGGTGTTTTTAAAGGGTTAGTTCGAATTCGCCAAGGTCACACAAAACGCCAACCAACTAACGGATCAAGCCAGCGTTTGACAAACACAGTTATTCTACCTTGTACTCGTCTACGTCTGGATGGATAAAGTGTGTTCACTTAGGTGCTGACTGACAGCAAGGTAAAGCATTGAAGTGTTAAACTAAAGACGATTCCTTTGGGCTGCTAAAATACATTTTGCCGCCGCTGTGTCCGCTTCATTACATTGCTTTGCTCCTGTGCCTCAACTCTAGTCTGTTCCTCCAAAATGAGGGACGTGGAGGTGGAGACCACAGAGAGTACACAGACTAGGGATAAGTACCTTAAATAACCCCATTTCATAACTAGCTTTTTTAATAAAAAGGTATAATTGCAAGGGGTTATTAAACTGCATCCTAGACTTCAAGCAGACAGACAAGTCCTGTCAACGATCTGGCAAACCATTTTCTCAAACAGGTTATTTTATGCCTCCTTGACTTTCTGTGGAACTTCATCTCTCAGTGAGGAGAGCCAGGCACTCCAAACTCCCTTGTGCTCTTTGTTCAAAGGGCTAAGGTTATAATCATTTCCCAGGCTATAGCACTCTCAGATGTTACAGTAATTGTTTCGCTGAGAAAACACATGCATCAATCCGAAGCTTACAAGATAACATTAAATGCAACGCAAGCACAGGAGAATCATTTGAGTATAGTTGCATTTTTCATGTTTCAAGGTCCTACTGAATCATTGATGTTATATGCTGACGCTCTGCATTGTAATTATAGGAGACACTGATCTTTGCTTACATTTCTGTCTTTTACGTATACAATTCTGGTTAAAGTCGTGGCAGACCTGCACACACCAGAATATTCGTGGAGAGCTCTTAAGCAAACTATTATTGTTTTTGATGCACAACTGAAATGTAAGCAGCTGGTTTAATCTCGGCGATGAGTTTCACAACACGGCCCAGGTCCCCATCCCACAGCGAGCCGGGGTCCACATCCACTCTGGGGACCCGAGCAGCAGATGTCTGACCAATTTGTGGACCACTTTGCAAACACTCGCTGTCAAAGCTCGGGCTAACAGTGCCTTGATTAGGCGGAATCATAACCTGCCCAACATGCTGCGCAGATCAGAGTGGAGCTCTAATTAAAAACCATCACTAAAAACATCCATCAGTCTGACAGAGAGGGAGTGAGACTGAGATGAGCAAGAGCCAAAACATTCCCAAAATGCAAGTGAGACTCCCAGTGATATTATTTATTCACAAGGATTGATTTCTAGACACTGCAGGTAGAGATAGATAGATAGATGGATACATAGATAGATGGATATATAGGTAGATGGATATATGGATACATATATGGATGACTTTACATTTGCAGCATTATCAATGATCTGTGCGGCTTTTTATGCACAAGTTCACACTTGAGTTGGAACACAGGAAGCAGCTGAGTGAAAGAGAGACAGAGAGACTTGGGAAGATATGCACCGTGTCTCACTGTTATTCAAAGGACATATAGAGGAAAGGCTTTCACAAATGTGCAGCCTCCTCCTCCCTCTGCTTTAATCCTCTCCATCCTTTATGCCTCAGTCTCTTCTTCTCCAGCCTCAGCCGGCACATTACATTGAGCTTTTTCTCCCTCTTTTTTTTCGGAAAATACAGCAGCATCTCGGGGGTAATTTATTCAGTGCAAATAGCGGATATAGTTGAGAGCCAGCAGATTTTTTTTGTGTCAGAGGTGCACGGATGAGCAGGCACGGACCGGTCCGGTGACTAATTGTCATAATAAGGCGCGCAAGTTCGCCAGCGACTCGGGCACGTTTTTTATTTATTTCTCCGTATTACCATGTAGCAGTGCCGCAGCGGGGAGATAATCGGGCGGAGGGAGCAGTTACAGAGAGAGGGAGAGAGAAAGGAGCACATGATCACACAGGCTACCCAGTCACTGATCAACTGGAGCATTCATAATTGCGCTGGCGACAACATATGGGAATACAACAAGGCGAGATTGTGGTCACACCTGCTTCTGGAGGACACCGGAGGACCCGTGCGGGGGGAAAAGGGCGGCCAGAATCTGAGGGACTTTGCATCAAACACAGCGGAGAGAAAGCGTGGCATCCGAACGAAGCTTCATCCGGTAGGTGAGCTTTGATTGATGTGCACCGACTGCCAATATGCCGTTCATCATCCGATCTGTCCAAAATATATAATAATAATGATGATCACCCGATCAATGTTTGATTACGATGGCACCAACAAGTATTTGACTCGTATTTGTCTCCTGGTTGAGGCTCGGTGCAAGAGATAATCAGGTCTGTGATTGAAACAATGCAATCGCCTCTTGATTGAGGAATCGTGTTTTATTGAATAACTGGCATACAGCTGCACATATAGGCAGTGGTTTCTGGATCCAGGGCCCAGTTTGGATATAAATCCAAAGAAAGGAGAAGAGACAATAATTAGGCTACATTTATCTGCAATAGGCAGTGAGGGGTATGAAAGAGAGAAAGCAGCATATTGAAGCAGCAACATGTAAGTTTCCTATTGTGATATTTTACATTTGTACTTTGTATTTAATGTCTGGATTAATTACAATTATTGGAGGGACCATCTAAGCAGTGCTTTCATTGACCATTCTGTGTACTGAAATACTCTATAGCCCAATATTCTGGTTTAGGTGAGGACTGTAAAGTTGGTGAGTTCTTCTGTATAACCTGAACGTGCACACACACCCCACCCCCACTGCCGGGTTCCCATTGAGTTATCTGACTTGTGGACAGAATGACTGCATATATTACTCCTGCAGCAGTGCCTCCCACCATGAATGCCCATTAAATTGCTATTAACTTGGTAAAACAGTTGAATGTAATAATGCCGCAGGCTGAAATCAAGACAACATGCAGTAAATCTAAACATGTAACATAGAAATGTTGTGCTTCAGAGCATCATGCCATGGGAAGTTCTCATGTGTGTCCACACAGAATGCTTCATCTGAATTTAAATGAAAAACGTGTCCTATTTTAACAGTTTTGCAGCATCTTGTTATGTGTGCAAACAAAGCAATGTTCCATCAATATAATCAATAGCTCTTTCAATCCCAAATTTCACACATACATGTCTGATTATGACGTCCAAGAACTACATTTCCAATGCAACTCATTTAATAATCCTTTTTGCTGAAGATCAGGATGAAGGTAGATGTGTCTTGAGAAACCTCAGAGGGGCACTTCACAGAAGCAAAACATAAGACTGATTATGAATCGTATGAATAAGGAACTGCAGAGACTTGAGACATGCCTGCTGCAATAACTTGATCTAACCTGTGCACATGACACGCGGGCGATAGACAAACAGATGGCATCTCCAGAGGAATTCATCTTGTGAAAGTTGGAAGAGATATTCTTGGATGGACTGCCCTCTGACTCGCTGGCAGTAATGATGGCATTCATGTTGAATGGCCTCGCTGATTACATTGCTCACTTTTAGGACCTGACCGTACCTTTTAAAACGAAAGTAAAAATCACTGTAGTTGCATTGTAACTGATGCTGCTGCTGCAGAGGGTTGCTGACTTCATTTGCAGGGCTTCATCATCTATCAATACATGTGCAGAAATTGTGATTTGCAATTGGTTGTCTATCTCAGGCACAATGCAGCCTCTTCAAGTTGTATTAGGCAATAACACAGTTATTGAAGAGGCCTGAGCAATAATTCAAAATGGTATTATATGTATTGTGCTGAAATCGTATATCCAGATATCTTTATATAGCCTACTATAGAGATAATGTTAAAAACACAAAAAAGAAAGCAATTTACTAATTTCTTAGAAAATCTGAATTGCCACTCAGTTCAATGCAATGAACATAAAGTGCATATTTGGAAATATTTTTTCAATATTTCTCTGTAATTTCACTTGAAATTGTCCTGTAATTTTACACTAAAGTTTTTAGTCTAATGAGAAACATTATGAGAAAATTGGAAAATATTGAATTCACACTGACTGGAGTACATATTATATAGGTTTTAGCAGTATTTCCGAAAATGTATTTTGTGCTGTATATCGTTATTGAGATATCAAATGACCTATAGCATGGAAGATTATACGCCATATAATCCAGCACGATCATTAAATAGTGTGGTTTTCTTATCCATTTGGTTGTAGTCCCATCAGGCACAATTAAGTGCAAGGTATTCGTGATGTAAGGGTCTTTGTGTGGCTTGGCTGCGTGTTATTTGCTAATTTGAAGTTATCCGTAGATAATGCGAGACCCCATTCGAGCATGGGGGTATGGATTTATCTGGAGAGAGCACATGGCGGTCCTGTTGGATTTGTGATGTGTTGCTGTTGTTCACAGTGACTGCACTACCGCTGTCTTTTTAATTACTTAAAGTCAATCAGGAGAGACTTATTTCTGAGGCAACGAATATGTATTGACATGTGCACAAGGTGATTGTGATTTGGCCCCATCATACAATATATTTTAAGTGGGAGGTGAAGCTGTAAGTAGAATAGGAAACCCCCCATTAGGTCTACACTGATGGTGATCGACCGTTATGAAATGAAGACAATGATGAAGATCTGGATTTGACGAGAAGTGGTTGAGCTCAACCTGGGCCTTGGATATGATGCAATATCAGCTTTTAATGACAGCTGATGGGAGCATATAGAAGAATAGATATAACAGAAGAGACACGATTGGATATTGGAGATCATGGCTAAATGTAATTGGTTAACTAAAGGAGTGAAAGCCCGTAATCAGCTGATTAGATGCAGCTGCAGTAGTAAGAGGGAGAAAAGAGAATGAATGAACTAGGCTTCATTCCATCAAAGGAAAAAAACAGATTTGTTAAAGAAAATTGTCAGATTTAATAATGTATTTGGTAAGCAGCTATGTAATAGGTGGCATAATATATAGGCAGCCATTCATTATTGTGTCTTTGGATAATGGCCACCTCGCTGTGACTGTAGCAGATCAGAGACTCATGTTGTTGCTGCCAGTGGTAAGCCAGTCTCAAATCATTAGGGCTACTTGCAATTGGCTGTTAAAGTAAGTTAACATTAAAACATGCATCAAAGATTTAACAGACAGACACAAATGAAATGATGCTTTGTTTCACCTTTTTCCTTCTTGTTACAAAACTGATTCAGATAGCACTGATGACCAAGCTAGCTGCCCTCAGCTGCAGCACTTTTTGCTCATACAGGAAATATGTGAACTCTCTGTCCATAAAACATAACGGCGTACCCATTATATTCATGACAGCACAGTCATTATAGGAGCGACAGCCTTCCCGCTGCCCATTTTTGCCATTACAGCTGAAAAATTGATGGTTTGCAGTGTCTGTGGTGGGCAGTCAGTGGAAACCTGTCAGAACAGACTGGAGGTGGACTGAGAAGCAGGATTAAAACAGCTCGTGAAAAATAAAGTTCAGATTGATTTGGATGGAAAGCACCAGTGTTAACTCATTGCAATATAATGATGGGCGACTGTGAGTGTGTGTGTCTTTATGACAAGCGAAGGCAGTAAAGTGCCAAGCTCCAATGTATTTGGATCAGCGGTTCTGTAGAGAATTTGGTTAGCGCATCTGCTATAGATGCGCATCATAATCCACACAACAGCGCCGCCACATCGCTAACGATACGATCGCTAACTATGTTTTCTTTTTCTCCCGTGTTGCAGTACCACTCTCTGCCTGTACGGTTACTAATGCGTTGGCGCTGTATTACCAAAACACAAATAACGCTCTGATATTGACGGATGTTTAATTTAAATATCTGGCTCTTTCTTGACTTAATCCAAGAGGAATTGGGGCAGGAATGCAGGACATGTGTCTTTGGGACGACCATTTACTGTATATAAAAAGACAACCCAGACAACTCGCCTCTTTTTATCTTTTCAAATTTGCTCATCCATTAAAAAATGTAACTTGGTGACCCCTGGAGATAAAAATCTGTATCTTTCTTATCCTATGTTTTGAAGAAATATTAGTTTTAACTGATACTGTCACGATCTGTCTTTGTGGTGTTTTGTCTTGTCTATATCTGTTTTTGGTTTTCTGTCTGCGTTGTGTTGTGTCTTGTTTGGATTTGTCTGTGGTTCCCTGTCATTAGTTTCCCTGGTGTGTCTGATTACCCGATTGTGTTCACCTGGTGTCCCTGTGTTTTCTCCTCCCTCCTCACCTGTGTCTTGTTTGTGTGATTAGTCTTGTGTGTATTTAAGTTCTGGTTTTTCTGTCTGTCTTTGTCGGTTCGTCTTTTGTCATGACTAGTTCGTCGGTGAGTGTTCTGTTTTGTCTTTGTTGTTCACCTAGCCTTGAAATAAAGGAATTTGCACTTTAATCTGCATTTGGGTCCTACCTGCTTCACATACCGTGACAGTACGAACCGACCACATTATGGACCCAGCAGACTCAGCCCTTTTGATGCGACAGGCGGAAAGTCTTGGATACTCTCTGGAGTACATTTTTTATACATGGAAAGGCGCCTCATCTAGACGGGGTAGAGAGGCTGCTTTGAAGGAGGCACGTCAGGAGGTTGCTCGCAAGCCCTGGCTCTGGAGCTTGTTGCCCGAGTGGCTTAGGGTTTTCTCACGTAGCCCTGAGTACCAGGCTTCATGTTCTGACCCTTTCCTGGGGTCTGGTCTGGCGTTTGGAGGTCCACGAAGCCTCCAAAAGACTCCTAAAGGACGAAAGGCCAGGGTTCCAGCGCCAGTTCCGGCTCCAGTGCCGGACCCAGCAGCCATGGTTCCGTGCTCCAGTACCATCCCACATAGCCATGGTACCGTGCTCCAGTACCACCCCACACAGCCATGGATCCATGTTCCGGTTCCTTGCCCAGCAGCCATGGTTCCGGCTCCAGTGCCGGCCTCAGCAGCCATGTTACCGGCTCCAAAACCGGCCCACACAGCCATGATTCAGGCTTCAGCTCCGGACCTTACAGCCATGTTTCCGGCTCCAGAACTGGATCTTACAACCGTGGTCCCTGCACCAGAGCTGGCCCATACAGTCATGGTCCCGACTCCAGCACCTCGTCTCCTGCTGGCTCCCCAGCCGACGCCAGCTCCCGAGTTTTGTCGGCGTACCGGCCGACTCCAGCACCTCGTCTCCTGTTGGCTCTCCAGCCAACACCAGCTCCCCGAGTCT